CCAAAAAAAAAAAAAAAAAAAAAAAGAAGAGAGAAGGGCACGGGAGTGGATCTGCGACCAGCCGGCCATTATAGGTGTACCTAAACTGAAAGTTGCCCCACATAGATCTATAATGACCGGGCATTCTATTCCGGTGAAGAGAATCGCAGTCAATCCTTCTCAGAAAGGAGTAATTGGTTACCAGATGCAATGAATCTTTCTGTGTCGTATTGAGAGGGACTGTACAGTGTCTATGTACTATGTAGTATGTATAGATGATTTTTTTATTGACTTGCCCTTTTATCGTATTGCGAGGGACCGCACAGTGTCTATGTAGTATGTATAGATGATTTTTTTATTGACTTTCCCTTTTCTTCTTTTTTATTTTCGTTCTTTGAAGGTGGTTGTGCTCGTATGAAGGACAGAAACAAAATTAAAAAGTGAAGCGTATGTTCGTTGAGCCGAGAGAAGGTTGGCATCTCCCTCGATAAGGACGGGAATAGTCTACGGGCTATACGAACACATACAGTTTAGGCTATACCGACCCTAGGGTGGATCCAGCCCAATTTTAGAAAGGGAAAAAAAACAAAACAAAAAAAAAGGTGAAGCTTGAGGTCTGCGTCAAAAAGAAAAAGAGATGTGTCATCACCTGTTGGTGTGCACCGTCGATCTCCGTAAGCAAACGGCTCTTCTCGGTGTTCAGTTCATTGATAGATTGCTCGAGAGCAATCACGTTCTTCTTGAGATTCGACACCTCCTTCTCTTTCTCTCTTGCAAAGGATATCAGGTCCTGATTGACGAGTATGAGCTCGGTAATCTTTTCCTTCTGTTTTTCGATATCCTTTTCTCGTTCCCTCAGCTGCCACTCTGTTTCTTTCTTCTCTCTCTCGATCATTGCTTGTTTCATCTCCGCCTCCTCAATCCGTCTCTGTAATTCTGCAACCCCTCTTTCTTCTTCCTGCCTCTGCTTCTTCAACAACACAATCGTTCCCTGCAGCTTCCCTACTTCTCTCGTGAGCGAAGAGATGGTCCCTCTCAGTCTATCTACCTCAGCTTTCGACTCCCGCAGCTCGTCCTCCCACTTGGCATTCTCCAATTTCCACTTCTTCTCCGCTTCCCGAAGCTCTTTCTCAAAGTTATCTCTCTCTTCACGAATCCTGTTATTAAAGCTTCGTATCGAGGAAAGGTGCTGCGCGGATTCTTCGCCGCGCTCACCTATCAACCTCCCGATTTCTTCCCCCTCCCTCTTCACTCTCTCCCTCAAGCTGGAGCTTGTACTCTGCTCGTCGACTAGCCGCATCTCCACTGTCCGCAGCTCTGTCTTCAGCCTCTCAGCATCCGCCAAGGCATTTATTAACGTCTCTTTGATCTGCTTTCTCTCCTCTGTGGCTCTGTCCAACTCCTCCTGAGTTTGGGATAAAGTCACCTTCAACTTTTCTGTCATGTCCAGGGACGCACCTAGACGGTCCTTCAGCGCTTCGTTCTCTTTCAGTATCAGATCCATATCAGACTTTGCCTTCAGACCCAGAGGCTCAAACTTCTTGATCTTCTCCTCTTTCGTCTCCGACACCACCCTCAGCGCACTTTCTGGACCTCTGTCCTCCTTTACTTCCCTCTCTCCCTTTTCTCTGGGGATGATGACACTGTTCGAACATGCAGGCACATCGCAGCTCTTCTCAACCGCTCCCTCCCGATCACGGCACAACTGTTCGAGCTCTGCAAGCTTTGTCTTCAGACGATGGACTTCAACGTTCCGTTCTTCGATCTCCTTTTCCCAGGGCTTTCTTTCTTGTTCTACGTCTGCTGGTGCCTTGTCCTGCCGGGGGCCATCCACCTTTGTCATTCCCCTCACTCTTTCCTGTGATTCTCTCAACCGTCCCCTTTCCGACCTAAGCTCCTGCCGCAGATCATCAACCTCCTGCTTCAGCTTTTCGTTCTCCTCGAGCAGGACCTTGACGTTTCCGCCCGATTGCATCTCGAGCGCCTCCTCTGCAGCTGCAACCCCGGGCACTGCCCTTGCTGCCGCCGTACCCTCCTTCTCCAAACTGCCACTTATGCTGGAAGTGATTTTGACCTTCAGATGCTCTCTCACTAGCCTGTCCAGGTTCCGCATCTCTTTCAGCAACTCACGGTACTCTTCCGAAATGTTCGCAAAGTCCTTCTCCACCTTGCCTCTGTCACTTAGAATCTGTTGTATCTTTTCTTCAGCCCATTTTGCTTGGTCCCAGCTGTTCCCGACAAGGGTTTCGACTTCCCATTCGAGTGCTGCCTTATTTTCCTCTGCATGTCTGACCTGCCCTTCCCTCCTCTCCACCTCCTGTTGCAAACGCCGTGCTTCCTCTACCAGTGCTCCTCGTTCAAGCTGCCATTTCCTTTGTCTTTCCTCCCATTGCTTCAATTCCTTGGAGTGTTGATTTGCTGCCTTCTCCAAGTGCTCCCTCTCAACTTCGGCATCTAGACTCGCTTTTGGAGCTTCCTCATTTACACTGGTTGAACTTTCCCCCACCTCTCTCTTGGCCCCATATCCCTCAGATTGCTTTCCAGAAACGAGCAGCCTATCCTTTTGTCGTTCTAGCTCGATCAGTCTCATCCTCGACTTCTCTAGCTCCAGTTGTAGTCCACTTGTTCTTGCGTCGCTTTCATTCATGACCAGCAACAGCTTTTTCCTCTCCTCGTCCATCTCCTTCAACACGTTCTTCACTGCATCCGCTGCATCTCTCTCCTGTAGCGTATCGCTCCTTGAGAGCTCAACCTCCCTTTCCAGACCGAGAACCTTGTCGTTCGACCTCCTGAAGTTATCCTCCCCTTTCCCCATCGTCTGTTGCTGATATACCTCAGTTGTTGAATTCTCCACAGCCTGAAACATCACTTTGTCTATTTGCTCTGTCTTCGCCACATCCTTTGCCTCAGACTGCAGCTCATTCTTCTCCTTTTCAAGCTCCCAAACTCTCTCTCTCAACATGCCGATCTCCCCCTTCATCTTTTCCTCCATCCCCCTTATTGTCTCCTGTAAAGCTTCTACCTTTGCTACATACTCCTTCTCCTGCCTTACCATTTCTTGCTCTAGATGCTCTTTCTCTCTCACGATGCTCTGCATCTTTTCACTGATGAATGCCCCCATCTCACCGACAGGGGCGGACCGATATCCGTCAAGCGTCCCTTCTCCTGTTGTCCTCTGTATGAGGGTCTTCTGCCTTCTCTCCTGCCCAGCAACGTCAAGCTCCTCCTTACCGCTACTACGATGCATCCTCCCACCGTTATCTGCATGCTCTTTACGTCGCCTGGTTGCAATGCAGCCAAGATCAAACACAAAGTCGCCTCCCACATCTCCCTCCTCAGTTCTAAGGGAGGTCACTGCAGTGGCACTCTGTTTTCCAGCTCGTTGATTCTGGTTGCTCCCTACCGCAGGTCTGCCGCTGCTTTCTGCCAAATATTGGGGCTTGCTGATTTCACTCCGCATAGAGGAGCTGCTTCCTTCCATTTGAGTTATCCTTTCGTCTCCTCTGGCACTGACGAAGTCCAGCTCAGAATTTGTCGCCACCCACCTCTCAGCACCCGCCTTCGACATGTCATCATCAGCCTTACAAGCAGCATCCTTGGAACTTCTGGAGCGAGCCTCCAGGCTTGAGGCAATCTTCCTCCAATGGCGGTTCTCTTCCTCAACTTCCTTGAGTCGCAGGATACCGCTGCGAAACATTTGAGGCGTCAAAGGCTTGTGCCGTCGCCAAAGGCGTCTCTGTCTGGCTGCCCTCCTACCTCTACGCTTCTCCCGGGAAAGAGATGGCTCAGCAGCAAGGGACGCCGTTCGAGATCCATCCTCCTCTCCCCGATTGTCCACCTGCAGCCTGCCATCTGTATGGACCTCCCTGATCTCCCTCACCTCATCACCATTTCCTTCCCCTTCCTTAATGTCAATGATGTGCTTTAAAGGCAACGGGATGCCATCTGCCGGCTTGCTCGACTCGGTCACCGCCTCCCAAATGCCATCAATAGCCATCTTACCTTTGCCCTTGTCAGCAGGCATGGATGGAGGGTCATCATCAGCAAGACGATCTACAGGTCCTTGATTTCGGACTCTCAGTGCATCAGCCAAGGCCTGCACAGGAAACACATGCACACGCATAATCACATTACGATTTCTTTTCTTCCTCTTTTTGTAACTATACTCCTCGGGTTGTCCACATTGTGTATGCTCTGGCCTTTTACCCCAGTTCCCCTCGGTGTTTACATGCTGCAGCACCCTCAAGCAGTGCCAAATAGTCAGTGCGGCTATCTTAGAAGTGGCCCCAACATTATTAGTGGGACTGCTGTTTGGGGATGCTTCAGCACCTCTCTGTTTACTGGTGGTGACAGACGTCCGTCAAAGTAACTCCCTGACGCATGATGAAGCGTGAACGTGAAGTCCATGGACTCATAATTGTGCTGTAAGTGATAGTTCACGTTGCGCTGCACTGTGTGTGGACCGTCTTGTTGGTGCTTCCCTGCTGCTAGGTGCCCTGTGTGTTTGTCTTGCATTGCCTAGCTACCCTGCTGTGAGGCCTGCTTGCCCACTTGCCTCCCTTACCCCAATGTCCACCTTCCCACTTGTGTGCCTTTTGGATGCTTGCTTAGTTGCTTTGTTGCCTGCCTGATTGCCCGCTCGCCTGCTTGCTGGACTGTGTGTCCGGTTATCACATGGTTGCTGTTTTGTTGCTTGCCTTTCTTCCAGGCACCCCAACCCACGCCTGCCTTGCTTTCGTGCCTTTACAAGTTCACTGTTTTCCAGAAGTTCTTGCAGCTGGGTCAGCCACAAAGCCCTGGTTGAAAGAGTTCCTAAATAATGTGAGGAATACAGCCCCTCGCAAGGGCCCTATAGGCCTGTACCGGCGCCCCTCACATTCGCAGAGGGCACCAGGGCACCAGGGCACCAGGGCACCAGGGCCACAGGGGTGGGTCTTCCTAAGCTTGACAACCTTTTCTGAACCAGGCCTGGGCGCTGTGACTGCGCCCTCTCATTTTTATGAGCGTGCGACCTGGTGCGACATGTCACGCTGGGCATGCAACAGGCCATGCACTTTCCATAAAGGAAAGTGCTCACAGCCAGCCCAGGCATTCTGGCTGACACGAGCTGCGTGAGCACTGCCACTTCGTGAGTGGAGCAGGGTAGACACGGATGCGAGGAGAGATCGGTGCTTGGTGCAGCGCCACAAGGCAGCCATAGCCAGGCTGCACGTGCAGGGTGGCCACTGATGGTGATTGTGGTCTTCAGGCAGGGGAGAGACTGACTGTGGGGGTCAGAATGTGTGTGTGTGTGTGTGTGTGTGTGTGTGTGTGTGTGTGTGTGTGTGTGTGTGTGTGTGTGTGTGTGTGAGAGAGAGAGAGAGAGAGAGA